TTAAAGCTTTATCTTAATCATCAAAGTATTAATGCCTCTTGCCAATACTATATAAATACCACTATACCAAAATATATTGTGTATTTTATAATACAATAAGCCAGTAATAATAATGATTGAGCCCTTGAAGAAATGATTGAGAGACAGATATACATTGCCTCAACTCCCTCAATGGAATCGTGGTTAAAGATGGCTGGCCCTGTTGAGGGAGGCTAGGCAACATCTACACATCCGAGTTAAGTATAATCTGGTTTCTTATAGTTCCATCTTAGCCTGTGTGAATTCAACCATTGTAATTAAAAGCTAAGGCTAACAGCACAGAGTATAAACTGGGGAACCCATTTAAGAAAACATGGCTTAGGACAGGGCTCTCCAAACTTGGCAACTTCAAGACTTGTGGACTTCAACTCCCAGCATTGGCTGGCTGGGGAATTCTCGCAACTGAAGTCCACAAGTCTTAAAGTTGCCAAGTTGGAGACTCCGGGCATAGGGCACACAAACCAAGTCACGACCTGTACTAAGTAATCTCTGACTGACCGTCTGCCTCCCTCAGCTCCTCCTCCGAGGGCCAGGTCTGCTCTCCTTCCATTGGATCTGGAACCACTTCCGACTGCAGAGACTCCTGCTTGGCAGGATCAGCCTTGCTCAGGACCTTCGCCTCTTCCTCCATCTCAGTGGCGCTGCTGCTAAGGTCACCCTGCAAGAGTCACAAGAGAGCCGCTCAGACCACGCCCCCTTTGGGGGCAGAGCACCTCAGCCATACCTGCACAGGGACAGGCCCCACCTGTTTCTTCCTACTTGCCAGTTGTCCTCCTGGGCACTTGAGGTTCAGGGAAAAGAAGTCTGGGGGAGCATCCACTTGATTCATCTGGAAGTCTCCATGCCCAACAATATGCACCAGGCTGTTGACATTCAAGCTTCGTCCCCTCACGTAGCCAGACACCTTTAAGGTCCCCACCAAGGCACTGTCAGAGCTGGGCACAAATTTGGCAGCATCAGCCAGCAGGTGAGCCCGCCGGTCTCGGAATGCCAAGTGCTGCTGTTTCTGGCTGGCCAGGTGCTGCAGCAGCAGCGCAGATTCCTGCTCCGTGTCCAGAGAAAAAAGCTTGGCCCCAGGAAATCGCTTCTCAATAACCTTGCTCAGCTTTTTTCGGTAATCGTTTTGCTTCTTTGGCATCTGCTCAGCCAGACCCTGAACAGCCAGACCTGCAAGGAACAAAAAGAAAGAAAGGCTTCCTTAAATACAGACAGCCGGAGAAGTCCGCCTTTCCTCTGGATCATCACCGAGGCTGCTATTAGCACTAGCAACAGTACTTAGACTTATATACTGCTTCACAGCCCTCTCTAAGTGGTTTACAGAGTCAGCATATTTCCCCCAATCATCTGGGTCCTCATTTTACCGACCTCAGAGGGATGGAAAGCTTGAGCCAGTCAGAATTGAACTCCTGACATTGAGCAGTGAGTTAGCCTGTGATACCGCATTCTAACCATTCCGCCACCACAGCTCTTTTATTCTATTATTATACTATTTTTTATTCTATTACCCACAGAACAGAGAACTCCATCTACCCAACAGATTCCTGAATTCTATGCAAGGAACAGAACCTCTGACCGTAATGTATTAAGCCAATTGAGAACCCTACCCAGCTCTTTGTGAAGCTGTCTTGCAACTGTGACAACCTCCTCAATCACTGAATTAATTCTTGGTGGCTCATACTGTAGCACCAAACACAGGTAGTCCTCCACTTACAACCAATCATTCAGTAACTATTCAAAATTATGGCACTGAAAAAAATGACTTATGACTGGTCGTCGCGCTTGCAGACGACCCTGCAGCCACATGATCAACATTTGGGCACTTGGCAACCAGCATGTATTTCCAGTGGCTGCAGCATCCTGGGGTCACGTGATCGCCATTTGCGACTTTCCCAGCTGGTTTCCGAAAAGCAAAGACAATGGGGAAGCTGAATTCCAATAACAACTGTATTATTCACTTCACAACTGTAGTGACTTGGGAAAAAAGATTGTAAAGTTGGGCACAGCTCATTTAACAACCACTTTGCTCAGCAACAGAAATTCTGGTCCTAATTGTGGTTATAACTTGAGGACTACCTGTAACAGCATAATATAACAAGAAAAGAGTAAAAGCAAAGTAGCAGTAATAATTAGAGAGCATCAGGGGAAGCAAACTCATTCAACCAAAGACCCAAATTTACTGTCAGGGAACAGATATTTCACACAGCTGCCTTAGTTATAGAGAGCTAAACTTCCAAGTCCTACAATGAGACAAGGCAGCCTTACAGCAAGGATTGTAGCCTGCCAACCATCTCCCATCTTACTAGATGGATGGAAAAACAGGCTTCATTGGGCACCATACTCACCATAGCTGGGGAGACCCTGAGCAAAGATGCAGGAAAGGCAATGGTCGCCAACAGCATCCCAACCATCTGCAGCATCCAGCATGAAAAGGAGAGTATCAGCTACTTTGGCAAGATCCAGCACAGCATGAAGGCTTCCTGGAGAATAAAGAATTATGGAAGTTACAACTCTCTGAAATACTCCAGGAAAATGCAGGAAAGACCATAGAACTATTTTGTAGGCCCGCACCTGCATCAGCTACTACGAAACGCCAGCGCAGCTTGGACTGGGGGCACAGCAGGGCAAAACCAGGCGGCCCCCCCTTTGCTGGGAACACAACAGATTCCTGGTTACTCTGGAAAAGGTTCAAGGCGGCATGGGGGTCAATGTGGGCGTGCAGCGGCACCAGCACCACCAGGTGTGGTGGCCCATCCCTGCGCCCCAAATTCCGCTTTTCTTCCAACACCTGCAGACAGAGAAAGCAAAGATAGGTGAGGTTCCTCCGCTCTCCAACCAAGCTGCCCAGGTTCAGCTTCCCTGCTCTGCTCTCTGCCGCTGACTCACAGCCTGCTGGTGTTGCCGGCGGAGCTGCCAAGCCCGGTGCCTGCGGTCCTGCTTTGACCAGTTGCGTTGCACCTGCCGAGTGAGGGTCTTGACCGGGACCCGACCTGGAGAAGGAAGAGGGGAAAGGGCAGATCTGCTGGCTTCCTGCCTGTTCCTCCTCTGACAAAGCTGCAGATGCTGCTTTTGATAGACCAGGAATTTATCCTGGCCACTTTTAAGACTTGTGGACTTCAACTCCCTGATTTCCTCAGCCAGCCATGCTCACAGGGGGATGCTGGGAGTTGCCAAGACGGGAGACCCGGGGACTAGACGGGCGTTTCTCCATCTCGGCCTCTTCGGCCTTGAAACTCCCAGAATGCCTCAACCTTGAAGTCATTCAGACGAGTGAGAGACGCTGAACTGGGTCGGCCGAAAGGGCAGAGGCCGCTCCGGCCCTCGGGGACGGGCCGGGTGGGATAGACTGCTCCTGGACTGGAGGCTTTTTTTTCGAGCGGCACACCGACCAGCGGGACTCCGCTTCCGCAGCGACCTTACTAAAAAGACTCCCCGGGAAAAAGGAGCCCCTCGGCGCGCTCACCTCCCTGCCTTCGCGCGCTGCTCACGCGGTGCTTCCCGGCCTTGTGCGGCTTGTTCTGCTGCTTCAAGGCACCAGCGCGGTGGGCGGCCGCCTCCTTCGCCATGGCCATGCAGCTCTCGCGCCGGAAGTGATGCACCGAACTTCCGGGTTGCGTCGCTCTAGGACGCGCGTCTCTCGGGCCGCCGCGTCTCCCGTTGGCCCGGACGCCCGGCCAGACGTTGACGCATGCGTGGGAGGCGGTCGCGTCCGTCTCTTCCCTCCAGTCCCAAGGGGGGCGCATGCGCAGCGGCCGCCTTGGCGGCTTACTAACCGTAGCCCGCCGCGCGTCCCCATGAGGAGAAAGAGGCGGCGGCGGCGGCCGGACGGGCGACGATGGGCTCGTGGAGCAGCCGCGTGTGGGGGCCCAGAGCCGGGGCGGCGGGGCCGAGGGGCGACGGGGCCTTCCCCAAGCGGAAGCGCGGCGAGGGCCTGAGCGAGAGCGGCGACGAGAGCGAGGGCGAGGGCGAGGAGCGGCTGCTCAGCACCCCCAGGAGGTACGGCCGCGGCTCCGGGAAGCCCCCGGGCCTGGAGGGCTGTCGCCCAAGCTCCGGAGGGGCCCCCCTGTAGCCCGAGGCAGATGCGGTTTCGTGGGGAGGGGGCGGCCCAGGTGGGGAGGGGGCCGGTGGGCCGCCCAGAGGCCGGCGAGGCGCTGCTCTTCGGCGGAGGGAGGGAGGGAGGGAGGGAGGTGACCGTCCCGTCCCGCTTTGGGGCCTCCCTCCGGTTTCCCCCTCCTGCCCAGGAGGCGCTGCCTTTGCTTAATGCAGGGGTTCTCAACCTTGGCAACTTTAAGACTTGTGGACTTCAACTCCCAGAATTCCTCAGCCAGCAAAGCTGGCTGAGGAATTCTGGGAGTTGAAGTCCACAAGTCTTAAAAGTTGCCAAGGTTGAGAACCCCTGGCTTAATGGATGCAGGTGCTTTTTCTCCCGCCTTCGTTAGCTTCGTAAATCTCTCAAGACGGTGAACAGACCTACAATTCTTTCTTCCTCCTCCTCCTCTTTCCCCACCACAACCCTGTGAAGAGACAGAGAGCCATTGGCCCCAAGTCCCCCCCGGCTGTCATTCACACCTAAACCGGGACTAGACCTCACCGGCTTCTCCTGTTTTCTCGCCCGGTTGCCTTTTAATAAGGAAGCCAAACTGGCTCTGCTGAAGTCCAATTTTCCGAAAGGGCCACCCGTAAAGTAAGCAACCACTAACTCCCTTTCCGCCTTTGAATAAAACCCCAGGAAAGGGGCTCCCCAGACCTCTTCTACTCTATATCAACGGGCAGGAACACACACACCCTCCCTCACACTGATGATGTTCAGCAGTTGGGTAATGAAACATCTGCAAGCAAACAACCAAGCTGAGAGGGCCTCAAGGACTGCCCAGGGCAACCCTGAGGTGTTTTCTTCTATTGATATTTATATCATATACATTCAATACTTATGGGGTTTGTTTTTTTTCTAACTCAGGAAAAAACTAAAAAGCACTTCGAAGTATATTTATCAGACTCTGTTTCTGAATGGTGAAAAGAGTGATGTTAAAATATGTGCCCTGGGAGAAGAATGGAACTTGCACAAGATATACCTCTGTCAGGTAAAAACTGCCTTTTTGTTTCTTGGATCTCCAGTATCATTAGGAAGCAGGCTTCGGACCTTTTTGTTTAATACTCAAATTCAGCGCTGCTGCCTTGAATGTGGTCCTGAAAACACAGGTACTACCGTGTTTCCCCAAAAGTAAAACCCAGTCTTATATTTTTTGGGTTGCCAAAATAAGCACCAGGGCTTATTTTCGGGGTAGGTCTTAATACACATATCAGAGTAGCAGAGAACAAATAATATATTAACACAATTTATGAATAATACAGATTTGTCAGGCTCAAGGAAATGGAACAAGAACAAAATTGTTGTACAAATAGATTTTATTTTTTTAATCTCTCAGGCTAAACATCAGTGAGTTCTTGATCACTTATCTTTCTAGGATGCAGTTTGTCCACTTGTATAAATAAATTATAACACAGGTTTGGCTGGCCCCTTCCCTCTTTGCTTTGCATGCTAGTTTCAGTTCCAGTTTAAGTAAGCTGCAGTGCCCTGTTACAACCAAGTTGATAAAGGGTGGTTTAATACTAGTTTACTAACCAAATTTGAGACCAGAGCTTGATCTTAGTTTCACTTCCTGGAGCAATTGTTCCATTATTTACTATTTTAGATGCAATGATAACCCATTTATTCTGTTCAGATCGAAATATTAAAATCAGCACATGGAGATGGAGGGGGTTGGCAGGCAAATGAATCAATTGGTTCAGAATATGAGTAAAATTGAAATTTAAGAAACATATCTTCAAATTAGGAGTGACAAATAGAAAATTTAATTCTTAGTTCCTCTTGCTATGAAAATAATATTGTGTTATACCTTCTTATATAAAATCTTTAATTCCAAGGATTGTAAAATTATTAAAAACATGACTTTTCTGTTTGTAGTCTGGCTACTTTTCAAGTATGTTCAGTGGGTCTTGGAGGGAGTCAGGAATGGACACAATAGAATTGGAAATTCCTGATCAGAATATTGACATAGAAGGTAAGCAAGGAATCCTCACTGGACTTTTTCTAACATAAAAGATTCAAATTGAAATAGATTACTTGAGAAATAACATTTTTAAAATATCACCTTTAATATTCATACTGAATTGGAAAAAATAAATGTATAACCTGTCTTATATGTATGAGGAGCCTTAGGATGTGGTTTCTTTAGCCTTGCAGGTTGCCTTTGGCTCACTTTATCGGGATGAAGTGTTAATAAACCCTAGTAGAGTGATTGCCCTCCTGGCAGCTGCCAGCATGTTACAGCTGGTAAGTGGAAATGGCTCCATGCTTTTACAAATCTTTGCTTGACAAAGTACAGGGCTTTCGGTCCCATCTTCATTTGTATTCCAGGGACGAGCACATGGTCATTGCCACATGGCTTCCGTTATCCTAGGGGCATTTTTTCAAGCACATGCTTAGCAGTATTGACAGAGCTGGGAAAGACGTTTTCTCGCTCTCTCTTGCCCCTCTTCCCCTTTCTAGATGGGAGCACATAAGTGATGCTGCAAGCCAGAACACTTACACAGGGACTTCTTATGTGGCCTGGGACTTCTTATGTGGCCTTTGAAAATGTGTTCAAAAAGGTTAGGATGCCTCTGAGCTTCAAAATGAAGCATCAGGGGATCAGTCCTTCCATTTTCTCCTGTTACAAATAGAGTATTATTTTGTGTAATTATAGTTGAGGCTGGCAATATGCCTATCTGTCCAGAAGAAGCCAAAATATCTCTAGATAATCATTGTTTGCATTTTTGCCAGTTAGCTTGAGGTGAGGGCATCATCTGTAGCATTAGGCCAGGGAGTAAGGATTTATTTTGCATCATTATATGTTTACAGGATGGCTTAATACAGCAGTGTGGTGAGACAATGAAGGAAACAATTAATGCAAAAACTGTGTGTAGTTACTATAATTCTGCGGGAACATATGGATTAGATTCTTTGAAAAAAAAGTAAGTATTGGCACTAAGAAAAAATTTGTTGAAGAAAATTAGTATGATTCCCCCTTGATTTTCTAATGTGATGTGGCTTTGAGAAGCATCTCATGATGTTTTTCAGCAGAAACCTTGCTGTTTATTTCTCCCTTCAAATATAAAAATGTGTTTAATTTTAGAAGCATAATATTTTCAGCTTGTGCAATAATTAATATTCTCTGGCTGACATGAAGTAATATTAGGTATTAGCAGAACCTAGAGCTGTGTGTTCCGCGTAAAACACAAACACTTAGAAACTTGGAGGCAGAACTGAAATTCTTATGAATTCCTTTTCCCAATTTCCAAGTTTCTTTTTGTCTCTGCAGTAAATAACCTGGAAGAAAAAGGGGGAAATTCACTCCTTGTTCTCAGAGGTAGCTTTTAATCAAATATAATAGGTCAGCCACAATTCAGTAATAAATGAAAGAGATTGTACTTCGAATAGGACAGACATCCAAAATCAGTACTAGCAGTTCAGATAAAGAAAAATATAAAGACAACCAGTGTATTTTTCTGCTGAAGAAAGAAAGCAGCAGAAGAGGAAATAGACATGAGGTGTTCAACAATTTGTTTCTTGTTGATCCTTCTGTGTGAAAGGATCATCTGCTTGAAGAACTGGTTGTTTCTCCTGAGTATTTGGGCTTTTTGTTTATCAGGAGCTGCTAATGGGATTTTCACGTTCTCTCATTCTGAAAGAACATTGGAAGCATGTATAGGAAGTGAAAAGTTAAAAATAGAATGGAAGCAGTGTGTAGTCCATTATGGTCTGAAGACAGTCGTAGTTGATTGGATGGGCTTTGGGAGTATGATGGCTGTGGGCTCCCTATTTTACTATAACATCTGGGGGAAAGTGCTCAGCAGCTTATTAGAAACATACATTGCATTTACCTTACTTATTTTAAATCTAGGTGTCTTGAGTGGCTCTTGAATAACCTGATGACCCACCAGAGTGTGGAACTCCTCAAAGAACTCAGGTATTGAGTTTTCGGGATTAATCCAGATACTATGGGAACACGTTTAGCATAATAAAATGGAATTCAGATAATCTGTTGAACTGAACACAATTCATGCCCTTTGCAATTCAGAGGTCATGTTGTTTGTTTCAGCATAAACCTCATGAAACAGCTGATTAGTTCCTCTAACCTGTTTGTCATGCAAGTGGAGATGGACATATATACTGCTCTAAAGAAGGTACCAACATTTAATAACATCAGTTTGATCCAAGTTTTGTTTTGATGATGCAGAAATAACCGCACTGTCATTTCTTCCAAATTGACAGTATTCTTTTAGACTGATGTTACCTCTCCTGCCTGTTCTTTCCTGATAGTTTAGTACAGGGGTGTCAAACTGCCGGCCCACGGGCCGCTTGCATCATACGGAGGCCGTGCCCACCCCAGCTTCGGCAATGCGAAAAAAGTCGCGATACATCGTGACACGTCACGTGATGCGGCGAGTTTGACACCTGTGGTTTAGTATCTTTGATAGGTAATCATAGTCTTTGTTTGATTATTTAGAGTACTAATTTATTAATGACCCATTAAAACTGATCTAAGAATAACACTGGATTACAAGATAGCACAGAATACTTAAAGAAGTATAAAAAAAGTTCTGTGCGTACAGAATAACTATTTTTCTGGTTATCTTCTTTCCTTTTTTACTCCATAAAAACTGTCAGCTACCTCTTTCTTCTCTTCTGATTTCTTTTTTGCTTGCTTTCCTTAGAAGGATGTAGCCAGTTATCCCTTTAGTTGCATTCTAACAGAAGAACAAACTCTCATTTCATCACTTCATCAAAAATTAGTTAAAGTGGCACTGTGATGTTTTTATTCCCAAATACAAGTCGCTATCTATAAACAATTTTTTGTAGAAACACAGTGTATATACATGTTTGTGTAAAGCTTTAGTTACTACTACATGTTGGGATTGTGCTTAGTGATTGTAAGGTTTGAATGATGACATCACTGTTGCCTGAGGGACACCCAGTTGGGGGCTCCTTTCATGTCCCTGTTAAGTTGCCGACTGAGGTGGTACCCATTTATCTATTTGCAATTGCCCGCTTTCAAACTGCTGGCCGGCATGAGCTGGAGGGTGTGACGGGGACTCGCCCTGTTCCGCAGCAGCAACCAGGTCTCGAACGCAAGCTTGCCGACAGTCAGCCCAGCATCATCACCTTGTGAACCACCATGCTCCTCAAGCTTTAGTTACTTAGTGTATCCCTCAAGTGAACCTTACAGCTGTTTCTTTATTTTACGTAGTGGATGTTCCTTCAGCTGGTGCCTTCTTGGAACGGATCATTGAAACAGCTTTTAAGTGAAGCAGATGCCTGGTTTTCCAAGCGCAGGAAAGGTCTTTATGAAATGCTTTGTGAATAGTTGGGATGCTGGAAATCTTTGGAGCAGGATATACAGTATCTTTAGCTATCTCTTCATTATGGGTTGTTCCCTATTGGCCCAACACGCATTTCTTTTGTGCGGGATGGGAAACCTGTAAACCACAATCTTTTTGGGGGAAAAAATCCACCTTCCACTAGTTTACCCTCTGAGCCATTTTTACTTTTAAAAGCAAATCGGGATATAATCCTGTGAAACCTTATCTGAATTGATTTCTCTGTTGGGATTGATAAACTGCTTACAGACTGCAGTGCTGCTTTTTGCTTAATAGTAAAAATATATTTGAACTCTTAAGAATCTGTTTTAATTTTTCAGATTTTGAGGAAGGCATCTCATTCTTGGAAACTGAACAAGGACATGCATTTATGCCAGTGTTCAAATACCTGAGGCTGCAGTATATAATCAGTGATCTGACATCAGCAAGAATTGTTGAACGAGACAGTCTGATCCCTGCAAGTAAGAATGAACAGCTCGTTTTCTTTCTCTATCATGCCATAGGCTTGAGAAAGTGAAATCAGAATTGAGTTTATGGGTCTTTGAAAGAGTCCCCACAAATAGCATATAAAAATTTGTGTGCCACTAACAAGTGGACATGGCCCTGGTAGTAAAATTGGAGAATCATTGAATCCAGTTTCCGGCAGATAAACTAGTTTGTGGTTAGGTTTACGCTATTTCTCTACTTCTCTTACATCCCACTGTGTGGAAAAAGAGTAAAGGAGGTCATAGCCTTTTCTCTTCTTGCCCCTCACTTCCTTCTCTAAACTTGTTGCTACAGGATCTGCTGGTTAACGACCACAATAAAGTGATTTGAATTTGTTGCTACAGTATTTATTTTTAGACTCTGTTTTTTTAACTTTTGCATACATGGGGTAAATAAACTGCTCAAAGTCAGTTTTGATTGGTACAGCATAAAAGCCTTGTAAAAATATTAAGTGCTGCTTAACTTTCTTGTTTATAAAAGGCCCACTTTGGTCTTTCTAAATTTTAGACTGGCTGTTCTCTGTTTACAAACAGCAGTGGTTTGCCATGCTTAGAGCAGAACAAGACAATGACATTGGGTATGTATAATGCCTCTTTCTCTGTATATTTGTGGCAGCCCGGAAACAGTTACAGCAGTGATCCCCGACCTTTCCAGCTCTGTGGCCCCGCAGCAGCAGCGCAGTGTGGGGCAAGAGGAGATGGTTTCGAGTGCACTGCTTTAACAAATGCAGCTTTGTTCACACACGCTTGCCCACCACTTCCGCAGTCCAGTTCTGAACGGGCTGCAGCTCAGCACTGGGCCGTAGACTGAGAATTGGAGACCCCTGAGTTACAGGGCTTTGTTTTTGTTTTTTGTATGAAAAAAATGCATTTACGACATTGATGATCAGGAAAAAAAATAGATAATAGAAAAAGTGAGCGTTTTTGGTAATCATAGAGTAAGATATAACTTTATACTACTCTGTATTATATAGGGTAAGAGATACATATATCTAGTTATGCTTCCCTTTGCTGCAAAGGAAATCAGAAGTTGCTTCGTTCTTTTTGTTACCCTTTCTCTCTGCATTTTTGTGTTTTTCTTTGTATTAGTTTTTGTTAATTTTTATCCTCTTTTTAAAACTGTAATAAAATTTATATATTTGAAAAGGTTTTAGTGTATTAAGAAACTCTAAGTGAATTTATTCAGGTGTTAAGATCTGTGTGCAACCAGTTAGAATACTTTTCTTGTGCTTTCCGTTGATAGAATGGCATTTTATAGAAAGTTATTTTGTATGTTCAAGGCCTCAAGAGATTAATAAAGAGGAACTAGAAGCAAACAGTATGCGGTGTGGCAGAAAACTTGCCAAAGATGGTGATGTAAGCACAAATACTTTTCCATGTTCTTTTAAAAATGTGTAATTTGTTTACAGTTTTTGTAAGCTGTTTGTTTCCCCCAAACAGTGTTTTCTTAGCTAAATTATTTTACAAGGTTAAATACTTTCTTATTGGAAAATATAAAAATGATAACAATGCTCATGTAGTTTTTTAAACCGCCAATCTTGAATTTCCTGAGTTGATGCAAAATATACAAGGTGTCAAGTGGAGGTCCTCTGCAAGCTACTTAAGTTCGGAATTTAAAGCCACTCTTTTAGAATACAACTATTTCTTCAATTATCTTCTTTTCTTTCTTGCAAGTATTGCTGGCGATGGACAGGCTTTAATTTTGGCTTTGATCTGCTGGTCACATACACCAATCGTTACATTATCTTCAAACGCAACACACTAAATCAACCCTGCAGCGGCTCTGTCAGTTTGCAACCCCGGAGAAATATCGCTTTCAGGTGGGTTCCCTCTCTTTTTTGGCTGGTTCTCCATTGCTGGAAGGTGAAAGAATCACATCGACAGTCGCTCTTCTTGTAGACTTCGGAGTTCACCAGCAGTCACTGGAGGGAAGCAGGTCAGTATCATTTGTTCGTTGGAATCAGTGAAACAACAATTGGTAAGAGGGGGAAAATACTGAAGGTACTTGCCAGATTCATAACATTCAAATCTCTGCAGATTTACAGAAGTTTGTCTTAAGGATAATGACAGACATCAGCCTGTCACCATTACCCATAAAAGTAATGTCTTCTTCCCAAGCACAGAGATGTATCATGCATTTTACCAAACAAGGGCAGTGGATGCAGTGGTGGGATTCAGATATGTGAACAACCGATTCTCTGTGTGGATGCCACTTCCGGAAGTCCATTCGGGGACTGGGCAACAAAAAATTAGCTCCCAGTTCTGCCGAAGGGGTGCGAACTAGCTGAATCCCACCACTGAGTGGATGGCTCAGCAGTTAAAGACACCGAGCTTGTCCAATGAAAGTCGACAGCCCAGGTTTGAGACCTGAGTGCCATGCCATGTGGTGAGCTCCTGTTCTTGCCTCAGCTCCTGTCAACCTAGCAGTTCAAAAGCATGCAAATGCGAGTAGATAAATAGGTACCACGTCAGTGGGAAGGTAACAACAAAGAATAAATTATAAATATAAATTATAAATATAATTATATTCATATGCATACATATATATAAATATATAAAAAACAAAATTTATTTGCTGCCCATGTCATATCCAACAATTCTTTCACTCTCTCTTAACAACAACCACCTCCTTTCTCCATTGATTTTATTTCATTTATTTATCAAATTTTGAAACCGCCCATCTGGATTCCAGAGGGAGATTGCTTAGCGTAATTTCTCTTCTCTCCTTAGGCTGAGACTGGCTTCTTTTCATAGCAGTGGAAAGCTTATTTGTAGCAGAACTGCAGGATATCAGATACTAACCCTCGAAAAAGATCAGGTTTGTATGTGCAAAGCTTTTGGTTCATTTTAGCTAACAGTGTCAGAGAAGAAAGAGTAGGATTCTCATAAGAAGCAGGAGAGATGAACAGAAATGAACTGGGCCACTTCAGTGGTTGCTTTGATTTGATGGTGCTGGAAAGGTTAAAAATCCTTGAAAGTCTAGAAAAATGCAACTAGAGAAAATATTTGGAGAAATAATGGTTTTCTCCCTTTGTACGGATTCAGCTGATGGATGCTTGATTGAAAATTGCCTCTGAAGTTACATGAGTAGGTCAGAAAATTACTTTCAGAATTTCTAGCGTTTTCTCTAAACCTTTCTGCAGGGTTTCTGAGAGCATTTTTATGTTCAGTCTGATATCTATTTGTTTACTTGCTTTTTAGGAGCAGGTAGTGATGAATTTGGACAGTAGATTGCTAGTCTTCCCTCTGTATATCTGCTGCAACTTCCTGTATACTTCCCCAGAGAAGAGGAGAGAAAACAATGGACAATGAATAACCCAGCCAGCTGAGACTGACTTTTGAAATGTCTTTGCATGGTCACTTTCATTTGGAAGCTCCTAATGCCCTGAAAGGAACATCATGGAATGGTCTTATCTATTGAAGAAAAAGAAAGAGGGACTGGGTCCAAGCCCCGGCAGCTCCAGTTGGCATGACTAACTGGTGTGATATGTTGGAAGCTATAGTTTTGTGGAATTGTGAGCCACAGGCTGTAGCAAATAAATGTAACTCCCACCTCATCTCTCGACATTCCTACGCACATCTGAATAGCTGAATACTTACGATGACCTCGTTTTCTCCTGAGAATTCTCAGCCCTAGAAAATGATACCAGTCTCCTGACAGCACAGAAAGACTTTGAACATAGTTCATTAACTGGGCCTGCTTAATTAAAGGGAGTAGGATGATATATCAATAAAGCCCACATTAATTTTTAATAGAACACGCTGTATTTATGGTCTCTTGATTTGTTCTGGTCAAGCCCTTAATTTTTAAAAGTCTGTTACTGGCTCGGTGAAATATCTGGATTGTTTTAAATTCATTATACTTGTAAATACTTCCTATTGAGTTGAAAACTTTATAATATATCCTGTTTTATTTTCAAGAAATACATATTTTTAAACATTGTATTTTTAAGAGTCACTTTGTAGAATCCAGCTGCCTCAATTCAGCATTTCTAATTCATCAGAACTCAGACCATCGTTTCATTCTTGGATATACTTTTTTACTTTTTGGTTTTTAACTTGAAGCAAAAAAGCACTCCCAAACCCTGAAGCGAGTGGGTCAGCCTCTGCTAATCAGGAGGCCACGTCCAGCCCAGGAGAAATAGGGCTACAGCTGAGAATTGCCTTTTGACCCCCAGGTCTGTCTGATGGCTTCTGCTTTGAGGCCAGAAGGCTCCCGGGGGAAATTCTGGATCCTGTGTAGCTTTCAAGGCACCCAAGTTCCATGAGTCTGCAGATACACGCAGCAGAACAAGTCTCTGGACTACAAGAAGCCAAATGGTCACTAAATACAAGCTTTGGAAGGCCCTTTTTTTTTTTTTTACTGAAATCAGACTTGGGGCTGAATATAAATCCCTTCTTTGGGAATTTAGAACTTTTGAGTTGTATTTTTTATTTGAACACTTTCTTACCTTGCATAAGATAAGATTGCTATGCCAAATATTGTCTATCCTTAAACACTTGCTAAAATATTTAATTCGAAATATACCTTTCATGACTTATGGCTTGTTCAGGACAGTGAATCAATGACAGATTGAAAATAAACTATCTGTAATTTAGAATTCTTAATTGTTTTATTTTGTTTTGGGGAGGATTCATTAAAAACAATTGCTAATCCTGGCTTCTTTTATATGCAGCTTTGTAACCCAACAAGGAGTCACCTATTTTGTTTTTCCGGAAGATATATTGTTAAGTACATTAGGTGTAATCTTGTGCTAGCTATGCTGGCTCAGGAATTCTGGGAGTTGAAGTCCATGAGTCATAAAAGAGCCAAGGTTGCCTACCCCTGGACTATACTCTCCTCACCCATCCTTGGTCACAAACTATTGGGGATACAGGAGGAGCTGCACTGCAGGAAGCAGGGCGATGCCCGGCAGGGAACGGGGCTCCGCGCCGCCTGGAGCCGACTCGCTCTTCCCGCCTGCAGGGCCGCCCGCGAGACTTCCGGGGATCCGTTCCCTGAGGGGGACGGCCCCTCGTCGGAAAGCGGAACCCCGGAGCACGGAGAGCTGCAGCCGGGGGAAGGAGCGGGCGGAGGGCCGCACTTCCGGGCGGAAGTGGTGGTCGTCCTAACCCTCCGGCGCGGTAGGGAGGAAGCGGAGTCAACGCTCGCGCAGGCTCTCCTCTCCCTGTAGAGCCATGGCGGGCGCGGCGCGGACGGTCGCCAAGAGGCTCTCGGTGGAGGGCAACATCGGTGAGGGCGCGGGAGGCGGGGCGGGGCGGGGCGGGCTGGCTCGTGGCTGGGCAGCCCTGACGCCACTTCTCCTCTCCGCAGCCGCGGGCAAGTCGACCTTCGTGGGGCTGCTGCGCAGAGCCTTCCCCGAGTGGCGCCTGACGGCCGAACCGGTAGCCAAGTGGCAGGAAGTCCGAGCCGCCGCCGCCGCCGCCGCCGCCCCCCAGGTAGGCTGGACGCGGCTCCCGGAGATGCCGCCCGCGGCTGCCACCCCTCTTCGCCTGCGCCCGGCGCCCTTGCAGATTTCCCGCCGAGCACGTGTCGAGCCGCCGCAGTGAAGCCACGCCGGATTGGCCCGTGGGTGGTTGCGCAGAGCCTGCCCGGAGGAGGGAAGGGAGTCCGGCTGCCTGCGCCGCTCCAGAAAGGCGGGAGAGCGGAGGAGAGGATGGGGACTCCGGGCTCCTCTCGCGGCTCGAGGGAGGCGGAGAGTTTCTGCCCTGCCTTGGAAAGGGAGCCCGAACGGCAACCGGGCTCGTGCGGAAAGGCTCCCCCCCGCCACGGCCTCCCACAAACGACGTGGAAAGTGCTTACATTGACACACACCCCTTTTGAAATGAAATCCTGTTGAAGTTGCGTTTAGTTTTTCGCCCGGTGGCTGCGGCGCCGGGCCTGCCTTCCTCTGCCCGAGGTTCTCTCCTGCCAGAGCAGGAGGGGCAGCTCTTCCTCCTCTGTGTCCCCCCCGCAGGCCTCTCCTCCTCCTCCTCCTCCTCGAGACTTCGGGAACCTGCTTCAGATGGTCTATCGGGAGCCTTCCCGATGGTCCTACACCTTCCAGACCTACTCGTGTCTGAGTCGGCTCAAGGCACAGCTGGAACCCCTGGCTGCTGAGACCCCAAAGACGCAGGAACCGGTGCTGGTGTTCGAGAGGTCTGTCTACAGCGACAGGTAGAGGACACGATTTTGGACCAATTCTCTACTGGTCCAGTGGCTTTTGCAATCAAGATATGGGTTAGCCTTTATGGCCATTGAAACTATAGCTCATGTCCTGCTATACTGCACCTTCTATAACAGGGGTGTCAAACCAGATCGCATTGTGGGCCGTATTGTGACATATCGTGACTTATTTTGCCCCTGCAAGGCCGGGTGGGTTGGCCTCTGTAGGCCGCATCTGCCCCGCAGGCCACGTGTTTGACAAGCCTGTTCTATAAGGATTCACAAACTTAATTTATAATACCTTACCTGATAAAACACCCAGCTTATTATTATTGCTTTTATTTTATTTATTTGCGTGCACAGTTCCATTTGCACAAGTGGCGGGAAGCACGTGCACAAGTGCCTACTGCTCACACAAATGGAGCTGCACACATAAGCACCTGCCGCTCACGCTGAACCATTTCCTCTTCTTCCCCCCCCCCCACCAGTCCTCAAAACCTGAAAGGTTGGGGACCCTTGGTGTTTAAGATATTGCTGACAGAAAATCAGCTTCAATTTATCAGGAAAAAAATTCTGGAAAATTTTCTTGGAATTGGCCAAGAAGGAGCCTGCACATGAACACTGGAATGGTTCTGTAATGATGGGATGGAAGCTGATACCCTCTGAGCTTTGGGGGAGGGGATGCAGAAATGATCTCAGGAGAAAGATAACTCATGTGCAAGAAAATGATCCTCCGGATGGAGATTCCCAACCTTTCCCCACTTCTCTCCTAGGAGCCTGCCAGCCTCTTAAGATATTTGAGGATCTTGCTCCCATTATTCCCATTTACTGTGGCCCAAAGCATGGGAGTTGTAGTACAAGGCAACTGAAAAGCACAAGGTTAGGAAATGTGCACAAAGTTAGATATCTGAATCCTTGCCTACTTCTAGCTTCAAGGTGGTATCACTGGCTTGTCTCTCCTCTCCTTCCTCAGGTACATCTTTGCAAAAAATCTCTTTGAGATTGGCCACATGACTGAGATTGAGTGGATCATTTACCAGGATTGGCACACCTTCCTCCTGCAAACCTTTGGGGACCAACTTGCCCTCCATGGCTTTCTTTATCTCCGGGCCCCTCCAGAGGTAACCAAAAGGGCAACTGGTATAACTATTTTGTGTTATGTTCCAAGCTCTCTCTTTTCCCGTTAGCGCTCTTTACTAGTCTTCAGTGTTCTTCCCTAATGATGTATCTCCTATTTGGGCTCTTCTTCCTACCTGACGTCTATTTCAGCTGCCTTCAACCCATGTTCTGTGCCAGGCATAAAACAAAACTCAGCTTGCTCCAATTCCCTCATTTCTTCTCTAACTCAAAATCTGGTAGAATAATTGCTGGACTGTGAAACCAGCAATGCATGCCCCCCCCCCCACACACACACACCAGTTAGGTGTTTAGCAAATTGGGCCTGGCAGATGGCTGCTTTTGGGAGCAACAGCCAGTCTTGTGAGAAACTCAGCACTCCGGTTAGGGTGCCTTGTAGAAGGGATCTCTCTTGTTCCTTAGAAGCAGCTCTAGGTTGTCGCTTTGTGCCAGAACCCACACAGAGGGGGAAAGAGCTCAGTATCCTGGCAGGAAGCCTCCGGTGATTTGTTGGGCAAAAGTCTTCTGGGCATCTTGGGCTGGTTAGTGAGGTTGTTTTCTCCTTTCTAGGTCTGCTTTGAGAGGCTGCACTGGCGATCCAGGCCTGAAGAGAAGGGGCTCCAGCTACCTTACCTGGAGCAGCTTCATGTCCAGCATGAAAACTGGCTTGTGAAGAAGGCTACTGTGTGGGTCCCTACAGGGGCTGTTCCCCACCATGGTTGACATGACCCTAGCCTGCTTTCTGGGAAGAACGTTCATGGGGGTGGCAGGGGAAGGGATAGTGCCATGGGAGAGGATTGCAGATGGGGCAGGGGAGGAAGGTTGGAGGAGAAGGACCAAGGCAACGTAAAAAAGAAGGGACTGTGTGAAAAGAGCTTGGAAGTGGGGTCTGGAAGGTCACCAAAGTCTTGCTATTATGCCAGCTGCAAGGGGGAAAACTTTTCCACCCCAGACCCAAGAGATTGTGCAGGGAAGCCTGCATATCTAGCTAAGCCACAGAGTGGGCCCAGTGTTCTTGGCCAAGAGCTGCATTTTACTCCCAGCAGTGTGATCACATCACAAGCGAACAGGACTTGGCTTAGGACATGAACAGACGCCCAGCAGTCCACACGGGCATCAGTTAAATCAAAAGGATTTTCATAAGTGAATATATTTTTATTCCCATAGGATCCATTCTGAAGCTTTAAGAGATGTGCCTGTCTTGATTCTAGATGTCACAAAGGATTTTGAGAATGATCCAAATGAACAAAGCAAGCTTGTAGGCCAGGTAAGACTTCCCCAATGTTGGTTACTTCTATAAAATAAGAAAGAATTGGTAGAGCATGAAAAGGGGACCAATTCATTGTTTTTTATCAGTGCACTTTATTCATTAAACCAAACAGAATAGTGGGCAGTCGGACACCTTGAACAGAGTGAGATGGCCTGCTTAAATGTGCTTTAAAGCTTGCTGTCTCCATGCTAGACATGTGGCAAATCATTTTTTTTAAAAAAATAACCCTGCAGTGCAGCTTGTCAGAAGTGGCCATCTTGTATAGGGAGCACCAGCCTCCTCTCCATTCAGTGCACTTATTTCATCCCCAACGTGGTGAAAAAATGGGGAGAAACAGAGGTGTTGCTTTTGGAAATCCCCCATTTTGAAGCTATTCCTGCTTCCCACCTGGATGTCCAGAGGCCATTAATGCCCCTGTTCCGTTTGATATGAACAGAACTATGGCTAAGAGAACTAACCCCACTACAAGCCATAATTAAAGCCCTGCCTCATATACTCATTTTAACCAACAGAAGGGTTTGCAAACCTGCCAGTTCTGGTTTCCCTTGGTCCTTTTTAAAGGGTCTTTCTTTTTTTCACAGGTGAAAACTTTTATGAAAACTCTTTTGTTCTGATTCTTTGCCTTCCATCTCTTCAACTATCTCCAACTAAGGGGAGTTGGATTCTGCATTCTACAACTAAGAGTTGGTTGCTTAATACTAAGGAAGCAATGGGAGTGGTCTGTCTCCAAGCAGATACAAACTCCAGGCAGGTCAGAAAGCCTGGCAAAGGTCTGGCTTCCACCCAGTATTAGCAAGAAGGAGCCTTCTGGAGCCATCCTACGCCCAAAGGCGGGGGATAGTCCCAACCCAGCAGAGGCCCTCAGGTGCGTTCCGTAGACTCCCTGGGGCTCTCCAAGAAAGGTGGGCAACGTTTTTGGTGGAGCTGAACTTGGCACAGCTACCGGTCCTGCTGAGTCCTGCCCACACTAGTCAAGCCACAATCGTGGACCGGCTTTGCCAGTTCAGCTTCTTCCCTCCCTCTGGCGGCTGAATTTCTGCAGATTTGGCACCCATCTGACATGGAGTTGCATCGTGACCATCTTGTGCCCTTTAATTTCATTCCTACCCCACGAGTCCTGCTCCTCTGGATGGTGTGAGGAGGTACCTCAAGAGTGTGGTGCCTCAAGAGCCCTGCTTCTTTTCCTCTGTGCTGGGAAGGGTCAGAGACCCCAGTTTCAAGACCAGCCGAGGATCACAGTTCACAAGTTGAAAAAGATGCAGCCTAAACTAGGAGCCTTTTGCACCCAGTTCAGCATGTGACGGTTTTCTGTTGGAGCTGATGGACAGCTGAGTCATAGTTACACCATCTTGAATTGTCTCATGGGGATGGGGGTCCTGGCAAGATATAACCCAGCATATTCCTAGCCTACTGGACAGCTACTTTTGTCACCCCTGTAACAGATGGGCTCTTAAACATCGGTAACGCCACTGGAAACCCGACAATTCCAGAATGGAATGGGACTGTTACACCTCCATTCCCTAGCTCATGGGGCCCACTGGATACATAATCTGCTTTGCTATTACTGAAATCCTGAAGAAAAGCATTATAAGGCAGCTATCTTTTTGGGGTTTTTTTAATAATATTTTATTAATTTTCCAACTTTACATTTGAGTATTTGGAAAGCAACGTGGTGATTGGGTAGTCAGTAGTTCAATAACAAAATCTTTAGTGCAAATCTCAGGTTACAACATCAGATATTTCTTCTCTTTTTCCCTTAACATTTACTGTCCCATATTCAAGCTAGTACAGTTCTAATTATATCAATTCAGTAAAAACATCATTATTACATTTATCATTAAACTTTTGGCTTATACATATCTTGATTACATTCAATCTTCATAAACAATCCATATCCTGTTGTTAATTTTTACTAATTTTTAGTTTCTCATCAATATTCCAATTTTACCTTTGATATTTATAATTTTCAGACTTTGGGTATCCAAGATTTCCCTTATCTCACTTCATAACAAAGTATAATATCCAGAATACACATTTTATCTATTTGAATATAATCTTGTTCTATTTCCTAAAAGTTAACTATCTCCCACCATATTAAGGCCACCGCATCTCCTCCAGTTGAATCCAGTCTGGAAAACAACTTAGAATCATTAACAATTGTTTGACTAGCCCCACTGTCTGTTAACATTTGTCTCTGCTATTACAATAGCTAACTTTTGCAACAGCAGCTTATCCATTTGCTGCTGTTCTTCCTTGTAAACAGTCTTTCTTGAAATGAGTTTCAACCCCACAAATGAAGCATTTCTTTTTCTCCTGCTCTTCTTGGTAATTAATCTGCTGAGATGTAATCTGATCGGTCTGCTATTTTGCTTGGTCTGTTCCTTGAAATGATGGCCCACGTTTCATCCAGACTAGTACCAACAGCACCTTCTGAGATTCAGGAATCTGCATTCCTCGCTGTTCTAATTCAACAAACAGTTTCTGCATGTGGAACAAGTGCTCTTCTACGCTCTCTTGTGGCAGCAGCCAGGCTCTGTACAGTTGCCTCGATAATTGCACTATACTGCATGGTGACACACTCACGTGCGCACTTCTCAACTTCAGCCAAACTTCTTTTGCAGTTTTTAAGTCAGCTACATTTAAGAATTGTTCATCTTCCACACTTAAGATGATGTAAGCCAGCTAACTCTGGGTCTGTCTCTTTCCATGGGCAAATCCTTGGAGGTTCTCAAACTCCCATCAAGACTTCTTGAGGCAAAAGTCATTTGTGGCTTCTCCTAGTAGTTTCAGGTAAAGATTGGACCAGTGTCAAATGGTAGAAAAAGGGAATTGTAAAAAAAACAAACAAGATTTGTGAAAGAAAAAAAAGTTTTCTAATAAAGTGATGTCAGGCTGTGCATCTATTTATTTATTTTGTAGACCAATTAGACTGTATTTGATTGTTATATGATTACAAACCCAACAATTGGATTGTTGGTGTAGTTACCTCACTGTGGTTGATCGCCTTTCTCGATGTGATCCCAGGTTCTTCAGCCTGGGATTAGATCCAAGGTTTTACTTTGTGCGATTCCTGCCTAAAGTCAGAGTTCCTACTTTGATGCCATGTTCACATAACATCACAATCCATGAGTTACAAAAACACAGTTGTGTTTACAGTAAATATTCTGCTGAAACAAGCAATCCAGATTCATATAATGGCTCGATTTCAGTATCTCCCGATCCTGCAGATGATTTCTTTTGTGTGGGGGGGTGTGTGCTCCTGCCCCAGCCTCAGGAAATCCATAACGGAGAACTCAAGCCAAGGAGAAAGAAATGTCTGAAAGGGAGGATTATGGGACTCTACCATGGAAAACAAAGAGGACAAACCTGACACAGGCAAATCTGAAATAAGTTCATAAGAAAAAATAATTTTTACATTTATAATTTTGGTTTGTAAAGTAAAATTCAACAGCAAAACCAAGAAAATAATTAAAGGATACCTTTCTGAAGTAAAGGGAAATGGTCACCGTATCCATCTCCCATTCCAGCTACGAGATACAAAACTGAGCAAGTGGGCGTCAAGTCAGGAATTCTCTCCTCCTCCCCTCCCCAGCAGCCAACTGAGTAGCAGAAGAGAAGTGGGGCAGGGCCAGAAAATGCAAGTGGGGTTGTGGCAAGCTTGGTCCCTTTTCCCCACATATTGTAAAGTTTCACTCCCCCCAGAAGGTGGAATGGCAGTGTGATGCTGCTTTCGCATGATAAAAACAGTGAGACCTGTGGATGTGGGATATGCTCTCTTCTGAGGGGCAGGCCAAGAAAATCTCCCAATGATGGAGACGTGACTTTTTATTTGAGAGTTGGAAAAGCACCGACGGAGTTTGATCTCTTCCATGTGGAGCCAAGGGAAAAAAGTTTCCATCCAGGCGAGGCTGAACGAGAGTTCCTGTTTCTCAGGGAGAATAAATACCCCAGGTAGTCTCTTCTCCTTGGCCAGCCATGGGGGATGCTCTCCCTGCCAGACTGTGACTAATTTTCCAGCCTCTGCATGTTGTGTTCGTGTTGCTGGAGGAAAGCAGCTGCAAATCAGAAGGTCTGACTCATGCCGTTTGACTTCTGAGGAGAGTCAAAGCACGAGGCCTTGCAACAGCGTCACGCCTCCTATTTGGAGGGGGCACCTGTTGGGAGTCCTGCCCTGATGCCTCAAAGTTGCAGCTCTGGGCTGCAGGGGCTGGGAGGGGCAGCTGCCCAGGTTAGGGGGCCCTCCTTCCCGCACCTTGGCAGGCATAGCAAAAGCAGAGGGGAAGGTGTACGTGCTCCGAGAAGAGCCCCTGCCTACGCTGCCTCCTTCAGCATGAGTCACTCAAGCAACACCTGGGAGTGGGCTCGCCTTCCAATTTCACTTCAACCATTTGGAGATTGGAGAAGGAAAGACAGCCCAGTTTAACAGCGCCTGAGAAAAAGCACATGATTTCAATGTCTTGCCAACACATCACCCTGCACTTACTAAGCATGCCGTCCTCTTTGTCGTCATCAGAAATACACTTAGATCACCGCCTACGCTGTCAATTGCCAAATCCACCCACATAGAAGCGGCAGCAGCAGCAGCAATGGCTCTTTGAGCAAGTCAGCCCTTGCCTTTACAAGCTGCCTTGTGATGGAAGATGCTGCCTCTGTCTTTTCCCCTCTCCTCCTCCGTCACGGGAGCCACACAGCTCTAATTTCTGCCTGGTCTGAAATTCCAAAAGTCACCTCCCACCTTGTGGCTGTAACTCAGCGGTGTATGTCAAGCCTGACTCTGCAGCAAGTGAGCAATCTCTCCAGCCAGGCTGAGGGAAGCCCGGAGTGAGCTGTCCCTCAGGACTGGTCCTGTCCCAGCCTGGTTTCTATATTACTGAATCTGTCTGGCAGTGGAGGCCTCCACCCCGTGGGTGGTCTGATCTGTTCCAAGCTCTCCGTTTCCCGTCCAACTTGCCAGGGCTCAAATTAATTGCTTCGCTGGACCGTTTCCCCAAAGGCTCTGAAGAGCGGCGGACAGGCAGGCAGGTGCAGCCAATAGCAAAGTACATTTTTCTTCTTCAAATTAATCCGGGTAGTCTTTGACTTACAACCATTTGTTTAGTGACCATTCAAGAAGTGACTTGTGATCAGTTTTCACATTTATGACCATTACAGCCGTCCCCTGATTAAAACTTGGGTGCTTGGCAGCTGGCATGTTGGATCCCCATTTGTAACCTTCCCAGCTGGCTTCTGATAAGCAAAGTCAATGGGGGAAGCCAGATGTGCTTAACAACTGCATGATTCACTTAACAACTGCAGTGATTTGCTTAACAATCCTTAGTTCTAGGTTGCTTCTCTCCTTGATGAGTTTCCATCCGTAGCTTCTTGTCCTGAACTCAGGTGCTTTGGAGAATAGGTTGAACCCCTCTTCTTTGCGGCAGCCCCCCAAATACTGGAACGCTACCCACACTCCAGTCCAGTTGCCTCATGAAAAAGCATCTTTGGGACGTTTCCAAAAAAACCTTTCCAACAAAACTGCAAGTCCAGGCAATCACCAAGAGACAGCATTGACTTGAAGGCATACAGACACTGTCTTCTGGTACCTCTAAAGTTTTTTAGGACTTCTCACAATGGACAC